GTCAGTATTTTGCGCGTTGGCTCACCTATAAGCTTACATCGAAGTAAGTGCGATGCGGTCCGGGTCCCTCTTTCACAAAGCTCTACTGTCCGCTCCAGAAGTGTACTAAACTGGCTAAGGTCTACTTTGACTTCACGATAGGGTTGGCAGTCTACTCTTGCCCACTATGTATCATCGTGTATGCTGGGAAATTTTTAGCAGTTCGAGGTGGCTAGTTTGCTTTCACTCAGGAGAACCAGTTCATTTCCAATATCGGGCAGGAAGTTCACAGAGTAGAACGCGCCGAAACCCAGGTTATTCCTGAATGATTGTCTACACCTACCGCAGCATTTACTCAGACCATCAGTTGAGTTGTGGCAGTTTACTAGCAACACAACTAACTTCACAAAGTACTCTCAAAAATCTACACTCGTTTGTTTGCGTTTTTGCTTTTTGTTTGGGATTTCGAGAATTTTCTCGCATACACGGATAAATTATGACTTCCGTGACAAAAATTATAAAGCGAGATCTCATTCAAAATTAGACGAACGCGAGTTTGGCTGCATTAGGTGTATTGACGGTATTTGGTGTGGGCAATTGCCGAGCACACAACCTCGCTTGGGATGCGTCCACGGCGCAGTGACCACGTGGCCTTAATTCTATTTGTTTTATGAGACTCCTACTCATTTCATGAATATAATGCAAGCTACTAACCGAATTCAAATTGTTTTTTAAGGTTGCTGGTGCCGCAGCTGCTGTTGGAGCAGGTCGGTGCAGAGCAATTTGCAAAGTTTTTCTCAGAGATTTTTGTTCTTCGTTCTGATTATAAACTTGTTGCAATAAGTTTGCCTTGCTGTTACTATTTAAGAGTATTTAGCTCTCTCAATTATGTTTTTAGCTGTCGGCGTTGTAGCTGCGCCGCCACTACAGGTGTGTTAAAATGTACTTCATTTTATTTCCTTTTATAGTATTTGGATCTTCGTAGCCACATGTGTTGATTCAATTATTAACGTAGTGTCTTCGACAGCCGTCAATGACAGCTAGTAAGGCATGCGTTCGATGTCAGCAGTCAAACTGCGTTCGCATAAAGCTCCGTCAATGTGGTCACATAAGCTGCGTTGCCTGTACGTTGGATCACCTGAAGGTATTTCACTTTTTCACGAATAAAAACGTAATTTAGGCTTCTAGTGCTAGCCTCAGTCTCACAATCACATTTTTAACCCTTTGACGACCGTGTGGCCCGCCGGTGGGCCACACTTTCGCTCGGTGGCGACACGTTTTTAGGGTTTATTTTGGCATTTTTTATGTTTCAAAACTACACAAATACATTATCGAATTCGCGGAATAATGCGCTAATTACTAATAGTGAAATTGTTGGAGAGTTAATGATTATTGATGAAAAAATTTAGAAAGAAGTGAAGTGACGCATTCATAACGGCGGTCGTCAAAGGGTTAAACAAATTAAAAGAAGGCGTCGCACTGATTTCTATTCACGTAGCAGCCATCGTAACACGGACGGACCACTCGTTAGATGGCCATCCTTGTGCTGTTGATTACACGGGACCAATTTGTTCAAATGGATGAAAGCACAAATGGAACACCCAGTGTGCTCTGCTCTCAGTAGGATTCTATAAAGCTCTGTCTACGAAACTGGAAGACAAACGCGACCAAAGACCAATTTTTTTTTTACTATACAAACCGCTATCTTGGTATGCTATATGTACGAAAAAGCTCCCAATTTTTTACATTCTTACGAGGCGACGGTTTTGTAGCGTCACAAACCATCATAACTCCCCCGAGAGCGGGTAAAATGACAGAACTTTGCAGGATTGGACTCGCCTCTCTGTGGCGAGTCCAACCATATGCAGAACTGCTAATTTGGTTCTTCTCCATCTTATTCTTTAGCGTTTGTCCCGCTTGTTGGCGGGGTCCGCTTTTCTGATGTGCTGTCGCCACTTTTCCCGATTAAATGCTTGGTCGGGGTGGATGTTAACCGACTTCAAGTCTGCGTGCAACGTATCGAGCCAGCGCTGTTTCGGGCGCCCCTTAGGGCCGCTTTCCGTGCACGTCTATGTTGAGGCCGATCTTGCGAACACTGTCATCATTTCCGCGAAGAACGTGGCCATAACCATCGAAGCCGAGCTTCGCGCATTTTATCAGCAATGGGAGCTACACCAAAGCGTTCTCGTATGACATCGTTACCGAATGCGATCTAATCGCGTGACACCAGCCGTCCAGCGCAGCATCTTCGTCTCCATTACACCGAAGGCGAGTTTCAGTCCCTGGTCGCTGGCCAGCACTCAGCGCCGTACAATGCCACTGGTCTTATGACTGTCCTATAGATCTTCGATTTTAGGCGTTCTGGGATTTTCTTGTCACAGAGAACTCCCGTCATAGAACGCCACTTGGATCAAGCCTCAGATCTCATACTGCCATCAGACGCAATGCTGATCCAAGGTGCTATCTTTGTACGTGTCAGCTCTATGCCATTTATTTTGATAGAACCGCACTCGCTCGTGTCGGTTGTCAGGTACTCAGTCTTTTTAACGTTCAACCTGAGTCCGAACATCGCTAGGCGATCGCACCAAGCTTGCGCTTGTTGCTTCGAGTACGTTTTTGTCTTCGCAGGCGAGCATCACGTCATCAGCATAGAGAAGCGTCCATGGAGCCGGTTTCTGAAGATCTCGTGAGGCATCCATGACGACAACAAAAAGAAGTGGGGAAAGCGCAGAGCCCTGATGTACCCCAACAGAGATGGGGAATTCCGTCGAAACGCCAGCTGACGTTTGCACTCGGCTCTTTGGGCTTGAGTAAGCATGCGAACCCACTCAATAAGCTCTTCGGGGACGCCATGTTGTCGTAAGGCGTACCATATTACTTCACGTGGAACGCGATCAAAGCCTTTCCAAGTCTAGGAAAGGCAAAATGCACCGGCTTTTGTTTTTCACGGTGTTTTCTAGCAGAAGACGAGCGGCGTGTATGGCATCAGTGGTGCCGCAGCCAGCCATCTAGACTATGTTACGGCGATCTGCAATTCGTGCGAGAAACTTCATGCTTGGGAGAGCAGACGAATTGGTCGGTAGCTCGTGCAATCTGCAGGACTCCCCTTCTTCCAGATCGGGAATCGTCGTGCTCTGTTGCCAACTCTCAGGCACTTTCTTTTCTGCAACGACTTGGTTGAAGAACCGTCAACCACTCTGCAGGATTCCAGCACTGTGACTTCCACAGATCGGCCGCCAAGTCGTCGGGACCCGTTGCTTTACCTGTCTTCATCTTCTTCAAAGCCGCCTTTGTTTCGCTTATCTTCGAGACAGGACCGTGGACGGGAGGAGCAGAAGGGATTGGCGGGTGTGGGAATTTTGCTGTCGAGATTTCCTCGAACCGCTTCACAGCCTTTTTCCGTTCCACAACGAGTTGTCCGTTCTCGTCATTGATGGCGAAGAACCTTTCTATATCCACGCTCTGACGATGACGAGCATCGGCTAGCTTGTAAATATAACGCTTCACCATCGCGGTCTCCAGCATTCTCGCTAGCTATCAAGATGAACTGCTCCAGAAGCAACAGCCACAGCTTTCTTTGCTGCCTTCTTCGCGCTCTGATAGTTGTTCCAGTTATCGCTTGACTTGTCGCCGAGAAACACTTGGTAGAGTTCTTCCATGTCCGCCTTTCTTGAAACCTGGGCATTTTGATCTTGAACAGTTGTTTATTCTTTGTGTGCCACACAGGTTTTGTACGGTGGAATCTTTATTGAGCCTGACGTTTCGACTACTCGTCGTCCTCAAAGGTCCTGAAAGCGTTTTGAAACACTCAAATGTTACCTATCCGCTCATTATGGATCCACATTTGACCAAGTACCACGCAGGCTAATGAACTAAGGAGAGGAAACTCCAAGAATGGGTCACATACCTCAACGGCTTACACAAGAAAGGAGGTTCCGGTGGTTGCAGGAGATCAACCTGGTGAGGTAAACAAAACACACATATTCATTTTTATATCTTACGTACTGAATGTGCTCACTTGTAACCGTAACTCTTTAACAAAACTCATCAAAGCTAAATTGTGCGCTGCGCAAGCTCGTCCTTCCTAAAGAGAGTCAATTGGGTTGGTATTAACGCGACTAACTACAACGCGGAAAGTGGAGGGCTGCGTGCTTCTGTTTCTAGCACAGCAATGAAAATTTCAATAATCATCGAGATTGAGATTGTGTCCCTAATAATGATGGGGTAATTTGCCCAATGTCGTTGCCTCGTCGCTACGCGAGGTATGTGGCTGCAAGCTGGTGATGGTGGCAGGCTTGTGCGGTGCGGAGATACTGACCGTTTCTAGTGGCACATCCTTAAACCTGACAAGGGGAGGATACAAGGTTGGAGTGGTCCAATCGTAATGAAACCTATACATACAGATGTGCTTTCGAACGCTGATCTAAACCACCTTCGAAATTTGCGTATTAGGCCTCTGAACGTAAATCCAGGCCAGTAAATTGATGTTTGGAGTGAATTTCGGTAGGGTGGTCGACAATGAGTCGCTTGGTGTTATCCCTACCCAGTACCCCAGTGTTGCTGTGCCATAGACGACAGCGAGCGTGTACTTAAAACAAATGCCGCGTAAGTTTTCGGATAGCGCAACAAAGTGAGAAACACGTATATTCCTTCCCACAAGTTTAATTGAAAGTTCAATTCTATCTCATGACCAGACTCTGACAATGGGTTGATATGGATGGATGACGATAGACTGTCCCCTTTTTCAAAGTTGGGTCGAAATTTTACATTTGGATCAAAAGTTGCCGAAAGGGATAGTTAGACGCGTAATGCTCCTCTCATACCCTGTTTGGCATGAGAGGGTGATACGCGCGGTAACGGTCTTTTGCATATGGCGCGCACATCTTTTTAAAGCAGGGTCAACCCTACGTTGTTACGAGTAACAACGGGGGGTCGTACTCAGTTGAGCTTGGAGGGGGGGGTCGTACCCTCTCGGTGGCCGACAGTGGGATTCTTGGTAATATCGGATAATAGCCAGCACGTTACGTTTTCGTAAGATGACTGATACTAGAGCATCTATAAACCACGCTTCCCTCTAAATGAGCTTTCAAATGAATCAGCGAATTAGAAGGGCGCCCGAGGCGTGGCGCGCACCAAGGCAAGGGATGTAGTGCAAGCGCATGCTCGGAAGCTTTCTAGCACATCCTAAATTAAACATGAAATTGGTCTTCCAAGAAGTTACGGGCAGTGAAACCTAAGAAAAACTCGCGTTTTCGGAAAATGGCTTGAAGAATACCCCTCAAAAAAAAAGTAACAACGGGACTAATTTTTGAACTGCTGATCTTTCAGGAACGCTTGGGTGCTCGTTAGAAAGCTTGAATCCTGTAGTTTATTATACGTGTTCAGCTTCCCAAATGAATGACTTTGAAGGAAGTTATGATCGTTTGAAGGTCAAAAAGTCGCTTTGCACAGAAAAAAGTAACAACGTACTAAATTTTTATAAATTAACTTTCGAAGAATTTTTACCCATGGTTGGAGAGAGAATAATTTGAATTTTCCAAATCAAATCACTTCGGCGCAGAAGCTCGAATATGAAGGAAGTTATAGCCCTAGAAAGAGGAGTGTAAAAATTGTGTTGCAATTTTATTTTTTGCCTAATAACTTATTCATTCCGAAGTGTTTGAGAACAAATGAGCACTCGTTAGGAAGGAGGAGCCACGTCGATCCAAAATCCACCTGAATCTTCCGAACTACCTGAAATGTAAAAAAGAAAAACTCCTCGAATTTTCACACTCCCCGTTCGACGCCTCTTCACCGTGAGCAAATGCGCTCCACCGTCAGGAGGCCAAAGGGACTTACGTAGCAATAAATATTGATGGCAACACTGTCTCTACACAAGTGTTACATACAAGGGGGGGTATCAAATCACCCATGAAGGGGGGGGGTCGTAAAAAATTTCCAAAGAGTAACAACAACGATAGGGTTGACCCTGTTTTAAAGTCCATCGCTAGCTCTACTATAGGCAATCACTGATGACTGAGCATGGACAGGAGTTTCTTTAACAATGTTCTCAAGAAAAGCAAAAGTGAGAACTCGCCAAGAAGTCGATCTCACGACCTCTTGCCGTCGGCCGGGCCGCTGCCACTGCACTATCTCGCTTCATAACTACGTTCAGAGAATCGTTCCGCAGATTTGGAGAGCAGATTCGAGATCAGCGTCCAAAAACACATCTAGTGGTGTATGTCTCGTTACAAATGGCCACTTCGACCTGGTATATTTCCCTTGTGAGATTACTCATGAATCGGAGCGACAAAGCTCATACCGATTTTACATCTTATCGTTAGTGGCACTAAAGGAACTGGGAGCTCTGGTCACTTAGGATCTTATAAAGACCGTACCATCGCGAGCTTCCCCATCGTAACATTTCTCTGATTTATTTCAGTTTTGGATCCGCGATAAAGCAAAAGCACGTATAAAGTGTGTCAAACCGTCTTGTCCTATACGAATACATGAAAACGATATCAATGCAGTTCTAGACGAGCAAGAAGTGAGTTGAAACTCTCTTACGTCAGCACCTGACCTTTGCACCATCTTGCAGGATGCGCTGAATCTTTTCATGCCCCTCGATCATCGTCAATATTTGCAATACTATCACAACAAAGATGTTATATACTATGCATTTGGTGGTAACGAATACGTGAAGCAATGCCCTTTGTGCAAGGTCTTCGAACGACTAGTCACTATCTCTTAGGAATCTTCAAACTGGCACGTTTTAGTCTATGTATATCGAGAAAGAAGGATGCAGCTATGTCACATGTGCCAACCTGAGGTGTCGCACCCGATTTTGTTGGCAGTGTGGTGAGCCTATAGAAAGCATTATGCACTTCACAGGTGAAGGAGAATCTTTTGAATTTTTGATTTTTTATGGAAGGGCAATGATCAATTATCAATTATCATTAGCTGACATTTCACGATCACAGTTTGCATCACTTAGAAAAATGAGCACTAGTGATAGAACGGCTTGCCCGAACTCAATATAGCCTAATATATTCTTCATTTTCTACGTTGGAACCCTCCTTGCTCGTGATCAGAACCGTAGAAGTGGCTTAAAGGCAAAGGTCGGGATTAGTTGACCAAACCAACCCTTTCGGTCATGTCTGTACTTGGTTACGCACCCGTACAGATGTTCCCACGCTCAAAATCTCGAACGGCGCGGTAATAAGGCCCCAGGGCATGTACTATGCGCTATCGCCGCCTGGCCCCGCTACGACCGCCCACCTTGGGATGTGGTGCGTGGCTGGCATAACGTGTGAAATCAGCTAGGTTGATTGCCGTATCAACCGATAGAACGACTGACATCTTCAGAAAACTTGTTTGTACGTGCCTCTTCCCCAAGCCAGCCTCCTTCACTGCTAGTGGGGAAAGAGGGTTTTGTTAACGGCCTTGTCGACGGTTTTTCTCAGTTTTTTCTCCACTGTCGTTCCTTTCGCATCTCTATACTCAGTTTCAATCGCCATAATACCCCCTTATTGAGCCCGACTTTTGCCTTTAAAATTGCAGTTTTGATCCCTCCTAGCGTCGCTTGCTTTCGCCCACGTCGATGCAGGGCCACGACGACTGACTACGAAAGCACCTTGAATAGATTGACAATGTTGAAAGTCCAAATATTTAAGGTCAAACGTGTCGTGTTGGGTACGACGATATCGAGCGCGGGCTGTTTTGGGTGAAACTTGCCGTTGATGTACGGGCCTTCGCATTGATTCTTTATGTGCCTGTCTTCTTCCTCGCATGTATGGTAGGCTGCAACTAATAAACAAATTGAAAACGTAAAAGGCACCTTTCTGAGACGACGCTTCAAGGTTGGAATCCCTCTGTACGTCTTGCTCGCTTTCCCCAGTTTCCTTGCTCAGCGTGTGTACAACAACGCTACAGTGAAGACGGATTACCTCACCACTGCCGAAAAATATTGGTAGCATTCAAGGTAAGCGCAAAGTGAGTGCCAAATATGACTACTGATTTCTGATGCTGTGGTTCTTAGATGGTGTCAATCTTCCTGGCTGGGATACCTGTGGGACTGTTCCTGGCCCTAAACTCCATTGTGACTGGTGGAACGATCTTTGCGATATATGTGGCATTTACGGTGTTCAAGGCAAGTCCTTATGCAAAGGTTAGTTAATTATAACTGTTTAGCCAGAAAGAGAAACACTCCAGGAAAAGCAAATGTCTTACATCCACGGAACCTGTCAAGCTCAAAGAACGTACTATTGAATTATCCTGATTCAGAGATTCACTGCAAAGCATTTGGGACGACATCACTTTTGACTCACCGCCATAAACCCTTACAAGCGAAAGCACCAGTTATACGACTTGGGGATGCCTTTGTGCTACCTTTTTCAGAGTCTCACATTCTTGGCAAACATTCGCGCTGGCATTCGCGTACTACTGATTACCATACAGAACGATTCAAAGGTTCGAATCTCTGGCATTTTCTTGCTCACCAGATTCTTGGATGCAGCGCCAGAAAGGCTATCTCGTTCGCTACTGTCGCATGCCAGAATGCTTCTTGAGAATGTTTGAGGAACATGAACGATCTCATCTCATCCCAACATGCTCACTTAAAGGTCTGACCATCGGGCTGTCGTCCTGGTGTTTCTTAGGCCCACCACATCAGTCGGTAGCTGCTCAGGCGGCCGTCAAAAATTGCGTGATTTGTCTGACTTGCCTTACTTTCTTTCTCGGGTAAGAGCTCCAGCAGAGTTGAAGGAGCTTCGGACTCCTTCAACGGTGCTGGAGCTCCAACCCGAGAAATGAAATTAAGTTTGAATAGCGCAACTCCAGACATCGTTTAGAACTTTAGAAAACGCAACTCGCACTAGTCATTTTGGCTTCGAATGTCCATGTCTCAATGTGTACAAGAATAACCTATTCAATACACGAGTGAAGTTCCAGGGCGAATAGATGTCAATTCTGTGACTAATGGGCCGAGATGAGGGGGCTATGATTCTCAGATGGCGGTTCGCCCCACGTTTTAACCCCACGGTTTTCTCATCGACTGTATGTGGTTTGTCTAACTTCTAAGCGGGGCTCCGAAAATGCGCTTCCTTTGTCATATTCCCCTTTTTCTTCACCTCTGAGTCAAATGGTGCCCACTGCTCCATATTTGAACATCTTCACCATAATCTTGCTACCGCAAGCATCTTTATCTTCAAGGTAAGAAAAACCACAGAACCTATCGATATCCCTACATGTCTGCCACTATATTTGTATTTTGATCTCTATCTCTTTTGTTTCAAAGCTAATTGTTATTGCAATGTGCCAGATCTGTGGCAATCAAACTTATCTTTACTTTCTCCACCCAGGACATGTTTAGTCTAAATAACCAGACTTCGCTTTGCTTGCTCGATGTAGTGTTATAGGATGCCACCTGCGAATTGGAGTTTGTGTGGTAGAAAATGGTTAACCCACGCTACGTTGGTCCATTCTAGATGACCTCTGCGGTAGCTGCAACTCTTTAGAAGAGATGGAGCCGCACTTTGAAACACACACTCTAGGTCCTTTCACAGAACGAGAAATTTCCGGCTAAAAGTTGTGTCAAAACGGCAACTAATTACGATCCAACCTAGTATCTAGTAGATTTTGTTCTGTGTAAGGAACGCTGACTATCTCTTTCTTAGTTCTTGGAAGAGGGCTACGATTTGCTCCTTCCTATGGCTCACAGTGCCGGATTGGGTCCTTTCAAACAAATGCTTAAAGATGGAAAAGAAGCGAAAAAGCGAAGAAAGCAACAGCTGAAGGAGCAAGCTGAAGCGGAATCTAGTGAAAGAGCACAAATAGTTGAAGGTAGGGCTCTATATACTGCTAATCCTGTAGGCCTTATCTCTAGAACCTTAAATCGAGCGAGTGTGACAGTGTGTGTGTGTGCGGCATAAAAAAAAATTCAATAAATATTTGTTATACCAATAGATGCAGTAGCTATGGGCCTAGTGTGGCGGAATGCGGCCCTTCTGTGAGAAATATGCGCCATTTGCAGCAAACTGGGGTTACAACAACCTTTCTTGTGCTCCTATGATGCCTGGGCTCCCTTTTTACTTCTGATGTCAGTAGCAGTATCGTTCTTCTTCTCTCGTTCTTGGAGGACATTTTACGAGAGCTGCGACCCTCAACTTTATTGTATAAGGCGCTATCGGTCAGAGCATGGTGTTTGGGCTATCGAATTGACACGACGAATGCCTCTTCTTCGCCGCTGCTCACTGATGATCCAAAATAAACGGCAAATAAGGCCTTTTGTGCATGTTACACAGCTCTTTCTGCGTTTCTCGCCGCTAGTGTTCCTCTTAGAGCCGCTTGCGTGGTAAGCGGCAAGTGGCACGCTTACCACGCGAGCGGTCCGGGGATCAAATCCTGGGTCGTGAGTCGCCCGGGCCAACCAAGCCTTCCATCCCTCCGGGGTCGGTTAATTGGTACCAGACTTGTCTGGGAGGATAAAAAACACTGACTTGTACATCGGCTGGCCCCCGCAAGTCATTGTATAGGCCACATCGCATTCAAACGCCACTACGAATGTACAAATGGAAGTAGAATGCGTGCCGCATCCCAAAAAGGGATTGATCAACGGCAAATGCTTTATCCTTTTCCTTTGTGTTCCTCTTGCATTAGTAACCCCCCCCCACTTCCGCTCCGATCCCGCCGACATTCTATGAGGCACTCAAGTCGTTATGGCAATTAAACACATTGCGTACCGCGTGCGCCACATGGTGGCGCACGACATTCCTGCTCCGTGTGGCCGCGTGCGCCACATGGTGGCGCACGATCTTTTCTTCACAACGGTTGACGTTTATTATTTCGTGTTTGTGCAGATATACGATTTATCACTAAGAGGACAACATATTCGAGTGGGACGTCTCTAGATAATTAATCAGTATTTGTACATGATATTCAAATTAATGCCTAATTTGGAAACGGATTTTGCTTGAATAAAAGGCATTCTTTCAAGCAATTTCACAATCTAGACGTAATGCAAATGAATTGGAATAATGTGTTGCATCCAAAATCACCAAAAGAAGGTGATGCGCAGCAGAATATCAGCGTTAAGGCGTCATGAGCGCTTTTTCCACCTCACATGTCTTTCGGCGGTATATTTTCGACGCCTCATACTACTAGGCACTCAGAAATACCTATACTCAGAATCATACTCACGATTGCCCTACCCTGGTATCAAATTAGGCGGTAAATGTACGGCAAACTATGGAGTTAACCTACCCACTTCCTGCGATGGTCCGGTGAAGGGTGAAATGCGTCTACAAATATTCTGCAAATCTTAATGATCGTCGCTGCTGTTCAATAAAGATGCTTAAGCAGATTGTGGGGTAATGGAACAAACTTGTTTGCCGTCGCTAGTTTGCACCAGAAAATGGTCAAAGCAGATTTTTGGGTCCATCACTATTGCTGTGGTGTAACTATTCGTTAACTACTAGGAATGTTTATAACAAGCCGAATAGGCAAAAATATGATGCAGTATCATAAAATTGTAACCTAATCTGATTGTAAGAATACAAAAGTGAGAAAGTACCCCTACAAAAGGAATTTCGAAATATGTCTGCCCCGTATGGCCGCATGCGCCACCATGTGGCGCACGATGCGCAATGCACGAGCGGCCATGCGAGCTCGCCAGCGCAAAAACGGCTTGGTACGCAATGTGTTAAAGTAGCCATTTGAAGAGTTTTGGGCTAAGCTTAAGGGAAAAGGGAGTTGACGAACCCACGAGCAAGCTTTGTTCCTACTGGCGTTTCTCTCCCATCGGGCTTATGCTAGTGCCACCTGCCAGCGTTTCTAAGTGGACTGATTTAAATGTCTCTTCAAGGAATGAGCGCTCTGTCGTAATTGCTCCAGAAAGGCATGAAATTGATTTAAACTCCCTGTTGCAGTATCTAACTGAGCACTTAATCGTGAAATAGTATAACGAGCATGTCAGGTGCCGCGAAGAATCCTTAATCAAATTGGTCCTAAACAAGAGTGTGACCACGGAGAATATTCAATCGAAGACTATAATACGTAGATCTTACAATTATCTTAAATATGCAGCAATAAAGTTTTTTTGTTATACCTGTGAAGATTATCACTCAACAATACATGCAGGTCGTTCCGTACTACGAGCTGAGCTACGTAAATTCAATTTGTAAAAGTTCGCGGAAGAAATTGAATATATGTATTAGGTACCGGATATCTTAGTGTCGTTTTTTCACCACGAGTTTCGGACCACCAATATTTTAATTCAGAATCCGGGGAGTGAAACAGCATATTCATCGAATGACTCATTAGCACTTTCCCATTTACCAGTATGAGTGGAAACCTCGTACGATTAAAGCTAGGAATTTTTTGAGTCGAAAAAGAGAGGTAGGTCGGTTTTGACATCATCTGACAAATCATCCCTCTCACTTGCTAAAAAGTTAGGCCTGGACAAAAGAAGTATACAGTTAGTTAGAGTAGGGTCTGCACTGTATGGTGGAAAAGTTAAACTTACCAGCTCAACTGGACAATTTTTCCCGGAGTCTTTTTTGCCACATAGGGTCAAAAACGCACCCTTTTTGAGCACACGTGAGTAGCAGATGAGCACATTTATTAGAATTTCTTGTGCAATCAACTTCGTTAAAGCGTTTGTGCATCATCGATCAGTCACTGCTAAGGTGTCCTACCATTTCAGCACAAGACTGGTGCAGCCCCGTCTCGACTGATTTAACTAGGGCCACCTTTTTGACGACGATTGCGGGCATCACTTCAAAGACTTCACTGTCTTTTGAGAAAACTGTGAAAAACCGATGAGCATTTTAAATGGTAGTATTCCCTCCAACAAATGCAATGTTGGTTTGGTGGGCGGAAGTTGTAGCTCTCAGCAAGAATTTTGAAGCATTTGGTACACACATGCGAATTTGCACACTGGACCCAGGAATTTTCAAAAAAAAGTATAAAAATTGGGGGAAAGTTAAATTGTGAACCAACAATAGAAAACAATAAGCAACATATTTCGCAGTATTAATGAGCAAAAAGGACTTTCTGAGATATTGATTTTCCATAGTAATCGGCCCCAAAACTTCCTGAACTCAGAAAAGCGACACTAAGATATCCGGTACCTAATATGTCGATCAAGGAACTTTGGAGTATCGAAGAGTTCTGGTGGCTTGCGAAGATAGGTAAATAGGCATCCAAGGTCACGGAACAGAAGTCCGGTCAAAAGCGGGGTCCACGAACAACAGCTGCTCAAAAGAGAATCCAGGACTTGCTACTGTATCGCTACTGATAAACTGTTGCTCTCAAACTGCCGCATTCATGCCTATTTTGGTCATCCCTAGACACTAATCAGTGTCTTCTTTGACCATGAAAGTAGCAACCACTTGAAGACGGAAGTCATGTCCACCCCAGCCGTCTTTGAAGCGATTCTCATATTTTGTTGTCTTATGGTTTGTAGTGTATTCTTATCACTATCTGTTTTTTACAGGTTAATCACCAAATAACTTCTTTTACATTTATACTGCCTCATAAAACAAGGCCAAAATATAAACAAATACAAAAACGCTTTTTCAAAGGCAAATGACGAGAAAAAATTGGTGGAGGGTTCGAATACGGACATCAATGTGGGCGCAGATCTACGGAGGCGCATCGGATGGAACTATGAGACAAGTACGATGCGCATTTACCTGCGAGTGCAGATATCAAGTAGACATCTCAATGAAAGCAGTAACCAGCTTCAGCAGATCCAAATGCCTACAAAGTAGCCGAGAGTCTCATTTTGAGCATATAGAAAACGAATAATCGAACCAAGTCGACATACATAACACAGAGACAATAATTCAATCGATATGGGGGCTACAAAATGAATAAAAAGGAACATCAATAAAACCACCATTAAAAAACAGCAACAGCAACAATAACGACGTGTCTCTGTGAAGGTAAAAACCAGCATAGAAGAGAAATTACATCAACATTCGTCTGGCTGCGATTCAAACTTCGATAGTCTTCGCTTAGGTACTGCTGACAATACGTCCGAAATGATCCATTGATGTAATACAGTTACCATCTGACACCACCATTCCCGATCGAGACACATGCACACGTTTCAAACCACGTTTCACGTATGCCTTCTCACTTTCCTGAATTATACGTTTTACCGTAAACAAATAAAACCTAAAATCCACGACCGTGAAAAAAGGGGCAACGATTAGTGCCCAGCCTGACGGATCTCTGGGGCCGTATTGCGTTAGGAGCTAACTGCAGGGTCAACCGTTACGTTGGACCGATATTGGAGCGACGTTGGACCGATGTTGACCGCTCTCCGCGCCGGCATTCACTCTCGCCACCCGCGAGCCGTCTGTGTCTCCGTGCGTACGTTCACTCTCGGCATTACTCTCACACGCTAGAGAGCCATGCGTTGGACTTTGTCCAACGGACGGTTGACCCTGGCTAACTGCCTTCCCCTCCATCGCACTGCTTCTGCCAAATTTGCCCACAAAAATGCCCTCGATTGAATACCACAACCTCAAGAAAATGACTAGGTTCGCCGACCTGAACTCCCATGTCAATATACGAACTGCGCACGTGTACCGATGCTGTTGACGGACTGCACTGGATCACTCGTGGGCGAGCATCAACAATGATGTCACCAGACCGAGTCTGCAACGGCTATAACCTGAAAACTCCCAGCTGACGAAGAGAGCGATTCAAGGAAATTTATGTAGCAATCGAATACCATTTATAAGGTTCCATCGGCTTGCGAAATCGTACTAAGCTTCGTGAACAAAAAATAAAACTAACACAAAAAAAAATATACTCGATATCGGTGAGTTGGGGTGGGCGTGTCACCGGAAGTGACGTGCACTTGATAGAAACTATGTGGATAAGCTGCTTCCAACATACATCGCTGGCTATCAGCAAAGCA